AAATGATAGTGAGGGTGATAAATAATTAAGGCGGGGAGGTCGAAAGTTCACAAAGAAATAGACCCTACATCTTAATATAGGCTTTTTATAGGGCCAATATAGTGAGCTTTTGGGGTAGCCTATTTCTCATGCAATATTAATAGCATAAAATAAAACTATTACAGTAGATCTTTTGAGAGTCAACTAGCAAGTATTTGTCTTATTTGCTTTGGTTCATATTTTAAATTTAGGCTACTATTTAAACCAAGATAACAGACTTTTTTTTTATTTTGCCTGGCGACCTCTTGTCACACGACATGTCTGCCAGAATAATAACACATACTAATCGTCCAGCGGTCAAGTGACATGCCCGCCGGAAGAATATCTCCCGCACTATTGTCCGGTCACTGGACATGTAGACACTGCCTATTTTGTAGCCTGTACTGTAGGCCTATTTATTAAATTTTTAATAGTAAGTTATTAAGTTACTCAGATTGGGGTTCTAATCCTGGATCAGTGAATTGTGATTGTCATTTTCTACTTCTAGTACCAGGACCAATATCCCAGGCAGGCTAAACTTCTTCTCTTCTTCTTCTTCTTATATTTGAGGTACCCACGATCAATTTGTTGATCATTCTGGCTCCTGGTTTTAAATTCAGAGTTTGCCTTCTCTTAGACTGGTTGCCGTCCAAGGCTAACGAGTCCCATCCACCCGGATTAATTTAATTTAAGAAAGGAAAACAGGGGTTGACTTTATTTCATCTTGACGAAAACAATTGCAGAACATAAACTCATGGAGATATAAAATGAAAAGATCATAGCTTGTGCCAAACTAATATCCTTATTTAAACATATTAATAAATAGTAATAGTTAGCCTAATGCAAAATATAAATAGTATTTATAGGCATAATTAAGTGTGACTACAGGTTGTGTAGGGGTTGGGTTCCTTACAAAATGTAGTCACAGAAAAGGAATAAATAGAACTCTGGGTAATTTACTACTTGAGTGTCGGTTATTTAAAAAAATTGTCTTCTTCTCAGACAAAATTGTTAAAATAGTAAAATTTTAACAAATAAATTTTGAAATTGTAAAAATTAAATAATTTAATTTAAGAAAGGAAAACAGGGGTTGACTTTATTTCATCTTGACGAAAACAATTGCAGAACATAAACTCATGGAGATATAAAATGAAAAGATCATAGCTTGTGCCAAACCGTCTTTTCAGTTTGTGTTTTGTGCGCAGCCACATATTTTCAACTTTCTTTGTGTTGACACTAGCATCATTTGAATTAACAAAATTTTGTTGATGGAAAACAACGGAGTATTCTTAGATTCCATGTCTGATCTGGTTTATGTTTTCATAAGCCTCCCATCTGTCTGATACAATGCTTGAACCTGGAAGGACATATCTCTTTATCCTGTAACATGATCACACATCGGTCTTGCACTTCAACGAGAAAACACGCCCACTCTCTCTTTCTATGCCACGAAAACTCCACTGTAATATTAACGGCATCAATACTAATATTGATAGGTGTTAAAAATTGTAAGTTTAGAACTTAACAGGATTAGGTATTTGAAATACCAGATCACATGTTATCACTTATCATTGCTCGACAGAGCATTTAGAAAAGCAACCATACTTTCCAGCCTTGTCTACTTAAGTCATGTCATACAATATCCCAGCGCATCAGTGCTGTCTTGGAATAATACCCAAGCTCCAGAAAAGTGCGCAAAAAATAAAACTGGGCGCTAATCTGATTGTGACAATGGACTTACCTAGTCAACTATTTAAGACTATTATTAATTAGTTTTACTACTATTTGTATTAGCTTTCGCAATATTGGCAGTAGGCCTAGTATTATACTATCATTAGTCATTTTAAAATATAAGCATGCAATAAGTAAATAAATGAAATGATGATAAGAATCCATAAAATAAAACCATCATGCAGTACATCTCTATTCACTTTCCCTTCCTAGCTGATGAAGAATTTGATGAGCTTTGTTTCCAATATGGATTAGAACTTGATGAAGTGGTGAGTTTCCCTATTTTTAACTAAGCTAGACTTTATTATCATAGTGACCATGTTTTCTACTGTTAAACATTCAGTGTAATTTACAATAAAATAACTATTTTAATGAAATAAAATAAAGTTATATTGGTTCTAAGTCATTGGTAAACTTAAATAAAACTATACCAATTTAACATTAAATAATGTACTTTGTAATACTTGCACTTATTTGTGTTTAATGTCTCTTAAAATTTAGGGATAATAGACAAAGCTCTAACTTTGCCAAGGTAATTTTGTGTTAAATTTAAATTGACATTTTTAGCCCACTCATTTCTTTAGACTTCAGAGAAAGAGCAAATGGAGAGAGAAAGGGGAGTTGGCAAAGCAGTTGGGGCCTCAGAAGTTGTAGAGTATAAAATAGAAATACCAGCCAACAGGTTAGTATATTAATTAGACACAAACAATTTGTGTAAATAAAAAAAATATATGTTCAGCTTTAAAAAATACAAATGTAGTTGAATCAAGGGATTTGTTACATTTTTAATTCAGATGTTAAGGTTAAAAGAAGTTCATAGATTCATAGTCAATTGGTCAAAAAAACAACAACAAAAATTATTTATTTCTTACACTAGTGCAGAGATTACTTCCAGAAAAAGTATTTAAACATTTTTTGTCAAAAGTAAATAATTTTGAACATCTATTTTAAAATTTAAAACATTGGAAAACCCTTTTTTATTTTTTTTTTAAAGTTAACTGTATCACTGTTCAACTGTTAAAATATGCATTGGTTCATAGCTATGAGTTTTTTTTATGTATAGTTATTTATTCATACTGTGACAATTTTGGCTGAGCACCTCTTTTCAAATTGGCAGTTGATGTATAATAATAGCATACTAATACTTAAAAAATATAATCAAACAAGCAAGGAAATTATATATAATTAAACCAACAAAATAAAGGCAACATGTGCATACATTTGTCAATTCAGTTATTCATATGGAAATAACTTGATAATATATATGGGGATAATGTTAACGCCCAATCGTTTTTGAAAATAGATATTGACTTGACGGTGTTTAAATTGAGGTCTAGGTTTATTTAAAATTTTAACTGCTGAATAAGAAAGGCTTTGGTTTTTGAAAATATTTCATTATGCAGAGGCAACTGTAGATGTGTTGAATTTAGTTAACTGCTTTGAAGGTGGTTAAATATGTGCGATGGATTTTTTAAGGATGAGAATCTTAAAGAGAAACATTAATTTACTAAATACAAACAACTGATGAAATGGTTAGAGCATTAAAATTTAAATTAGATTTTTCTGTTGACCGTAAATAAAATTACATCCATTAACAATTTGTGTTGGTCACTTTGTACTAGGGTTAGCCCATGTGCAGGTTAATATTTAAATCTGCACTTTGCATGATTAAAGTTAAAAAAAAATATTCTGAGATTACCACTAAGTTTGACCTTTACCCTCCTGCAACATTAAAGCATTATTACTTTTCTCTCTTTGTATATCATAGAAATAAAAATGATCAGAGCATGTGATAGTACTTAATTAAAAGTTAGTGAGTTGTATTTTCCTGTCTTATTTGAAATATATTTGTTAAGTTTTAAAATTTACATCAGGCTTGCAATTTCAACATATTAGTCTTTCAATCAAACATTTCCTTTCAGCAAAACAGTGCCTTTCTTGATATGTAAATTTCAAATTAAGTTATTTATTTTATACAATTTTTTCCAAGTATATTGATTAAGCTATTTTTTTAATGGACCAGGTACGATTTGCTCTGCTTGGAAGGACTTGTTCGTGGCCTACTTGTGTTCTTAGAGAAGTAAGTTATTGCACTGTTGTCCTTAAAGGTGACTAGCTTATCAAGACCATACTTATAAGGAATGCTTTATTGATTTCTTAATAGCAGCCATACTTTTGGCAAGAGCAAAATAAACAAAGCCTTGCAAGCTAAATATATATTTTAATTTTAAAGAAAGCTGTAGTGGGAACTTGCCAGTGTTTGCTTACTCTTAAAATACAATTTGTAGAATAGTTTGATGGCAGATCATCTGATCTAAATCAAACAATTTTACTTTCTTTTTCTTTTTTCAAGGGAAAAGGCCCCTCTATACAAGACTGTCAGTCCTGAGAAGGACAAACTCCAGAGATTGGTTATCCAAAGTTCTGTAGGTTTAGTAAAATATTTAAAAAAACTTGTCAGATAAATAACTTAACCTTGACATAGGCAGTTTTGTATGTTGTACATACAATATACATTAGCTGCTTTTAGTTGTAATACTTGTTTCATTGTCTGTTATATCCTCTATTTAATCAACAATTCTTATATGGCTTCTGTTCACAGTGGTCATAAGTTTCACTACTAGAAATATATGTCCACATTTCTAATGGAGCATAGTAGAGGCATCAACTTTGTGATATGAAAGAAGATTGAACGTAAGCTTGTTTAAAGATTTTTCTTTCCATGTCTTTACCAGACTGCTCAAGTTCGACCATATTGTGTGGCTGCAGTCCTGAGAAATATCAAGTTTGATCAGGTTTGTTAACCCACCCCCCTCCCCCCCACCCCTCTAAAAAAACATTTGCAACTAGTCTAAATGATAAATTCTCTTTTATCTTAATTTTTTTTATTGTATTTGGAAGGAGAATGAAAAGGGAGAAAATGTCTTGTAATGTGACAAGATTAGTTTTGAAAGGGAAGTGATCAATATTCTTTTTTTAGACACGCTACAACAACTTTATTGACCTTCAAGACAAACTTCACCAGAACTTGTGCAGGTAAATTTTTTGCATTTATAACACATAAAAGATATTAAATCAGCTGTTCATTTTGCCATCTTCTTTATCTGTGTGTGAAGTTAGTTTTGATCAGACTTGGTCTCACATCTTTCCCCTGTGTCAACTGCTGCATTTTTAGACCCACATCGTTGCCATCAATCTCTGGTAAATGGGAACATCATGAGCAGTATTTGATCCTTTCTATTTTCCCCATTCAGACGACGGACTCTTGTTGCCATAGGAACACATGACCTTGACACTATTGAAGGACCTTTCAGTTACGAGGCGGTGCCCCCGTCACAGATTAAGTTCAAACCCCTGGGACAAAAGCAAGAGTACACAGCAGTGGAGCTGATGGAGCTGTACTCTGTGAGTTAGGATATTTTGTGTTGTTTGATGGTCATTGCATGGCCAGGGGTCAGTGGTTACTTTAGTCTGATAATGGCCTCGTCATCAATGTTTGTTTGCACATCAGTCCAGTAATATTTCACATCTGTTCAGTATCAGTGCTCATCCATTCAGTAACAGTGCACATCCATTCAGTAACAGTTGCATTACTTTGTTTTGTTGTTTGACAGGGAGAGAGTCACCTCAGACCTTACCTCCATATCATAAAAGACAAGCCAGTGTATCCTGTCATATATGACAAGAACAGGGTGGTGCTGTCCATGCCTCCAATCATTAATGGTACGTTGAGCCGGCGTTGTGGCTCTGGAGACCTAGACGATTGTATCAAACAATGATTCATTATAGTTAATATTCCTAGACAGAAAATCTGTTGCTTTTTACTTTTTTAATTTTGAATGATTTTTCAATGTCTAAATCTTTGAATTTTTCTAACCTTATAAATATTATTTAAACATTTTAATATTCTGAGAAATTAAATGTAAACTTTAAATGATATGCCTAATATTAAATGTTTCATTAAAAGTATTGAAATAATTTATATAAATCGCATTACAGTGAATTATGCATGTAATAAATGTTAAACTAATTAAATCAGGTCATGTTTTGTTGATGCATTGAAACTGGCCTCGTGGGCCACCAAATGGACAGTCTGGTGTGAGCCCATCAGCAAGCATGGGACTGGAAATATTGGAATAGTTGGCAATATTTAAAGTGTAGAGGCTATCTTGTTATTTTAATCAGTAAGAGTTTTCCTCATGTATGTACACATGGCTGAAAAAGTATGGTGTCATTTGATAAATGTATATTGTGACCATGTTCAGACCTTGTCTACCCATGCAGGTGAACATTCCAAGATCACACTGGAAACTAAGAATGTCTTCATTGAATGTACAGCCACTGACATGACCAAAGCTACCATAGTGTTAGATATGCTGGTGGCCATGTTCTCCGTCTACTGTGAGAAACCATTCAGGTAAGAGTGTACACGACCACATTGATCAGTTTTTTAAAGACCGATTTGTACACGATCTTAATGTATTTGTGTTTAGTCACTTCACAAAGTGAAATAAACAATGAGTTTTGTGTAGCTGTTGTACTGATACAATGTTGTGTGGCCAACCTTTTTAATGACAGAATTTCTAGTAAAGAATTAAATTAATGTAGACGTGATAAAGAGGAATGACCAGTGCTAAATACCTAACAATTAATAGCTTGATTGAAATGCTAAGAAAGGGTGGCTGATGAGCTCCTATACATATTTTGTATTTTTGCGGTGCTCTTTCAGTGGCACTGAAGAACATTTAATGTATCAATACATCTGTACTTAATGTATATCTGACAGTGTGGAAGCTGCAGAGGTTGTACAGCCTGATGGAAGCGTACGAGTGTATCCAGTAAGTGGTTAGCTTAAGGTGGGTTGGACATTGTCCAAGCGGTTTAAAGACATGGTGAAATGGGATTAAAATCTGCTTTGATCTATGAGCCAATGAGATGGTATGATGGAATATTGTGACAGGGTGATGGCATATTGTGACATGATTATGGCATATTGTACACTATTGTGACAGGATGATGGCAAATTGTGACAGTATTGAGAAAGGATGATGAAACAATGTGACAAGATGTTAGTGTGACTCAATCATAAGATGATGTGACAGGGTGGTAGAATTGTGTGTACACAAGTATTATAATATGATAGAGGGCACTACTTTGAAACAGGAGGACTCTTAAGACAAGAACTGTTGCTACAGTATACTTAGTGCAACATCTTCAGGCAAACGGAAGTGTGTTTTAACTCATTTGAGCCAGTCCATTATGAGGCTGATGTTGGCAAGTAGATGTCAGTACAATAAACTACACGATGACAAAACGAAGGTCATACAAGATACTATAATTTTTTTCAGGAACTCCCCTATAGGACAGAAACAGTAAATGTTGATAAAATTTCTAAGCAAGTTGGAGCAAAGTAAGAAACCTATTTAAACCCAGACAATAGCTTTAACAAAATCATGTCCACACAGCTTTAAAAAATTACACTCTTAATAACTTTACTAAAGCTATTACATTTATAACAGTGTCCTTACTAACTTATCATGTTAATTACAATGTATCTTACTAACCGTATCACATTTGTAATAATCTGTCTGTTAACAATATCAAATTAAAGGTATTTATTTTACTTTTTTTATAATATTTTTGTTTACTGAAGTATTTTTTAAAAGATATTTGACATTTTAAGAAAAAACATCTCATTCTGTTTGTCTAGGATAGAAGCTAAAGAAATGGCCAGGTTATTAACAAAGATGTGTTTAGAAACTGAGGTTTTGCCAGACGGAGCAACATTGAAAGTCACAGTGCCTCCAACCAGAGCAGATATCCTTTATATTATATGATTAATTATATCACAGTTTTAACATTTCATAGGTACATCACAGTTTAACATTTGATAGGTGTATACATCAATGTTTTAGCATTTGATAGGTACATCACAGTTTAACATTTGATAGGTACATCACAGTTTTAACATTTGATAGGTGTATACATCACAATTTTAGCATTTGATAGGTACATCACAGTTTAACATTTGATAGGTACATCACAGTTTTAACATTTGATAGGTACATCACAGTTTTAACATTTGATAGGTGTATACATCACAGTTTAACATTTGATAGGTACATCACAGTTTAGCATTTGATAGGTACATCACAGTTTTAACATTTGATAGGTGTATACATCACAGTTTTTGTTTTCATAAATTATCATTACAGCTAAATATTGTTTATTGAGATTTTTTTTTTTTTACAGTTGTGAGATAACCATAAATTGTTTAAATTTGAGACAAAGTTCCAGAGACTCTATTTCCTCTGTCACAAAAACTGTTGTCATTGTAAGCTCCTTAACATTGAGTAAATATTCTACACCAGTGTGACATCATGGAGGACGTTGCTATTGGTTACGGTTTTAACAACATCAAAAAAACTATCCCGGACACCAACTGTATAGCTGAGCAGGTGATATGAAAGATTTACTCTTACATTAGTACCTTGGTGAACTGTTTAGAACTGCAATTGATATCAAACATTGTGTCACCAACTGTATAGCTGAGCAGGTGATACGAAAGATTTACTCTGACATTAGTACCTTGGTGAACTGTTTAGAACTGCAATTGATATCAAACATTGTGTTATAGGGATGATAGGTGATTGTTAATCCACATTGGTGTGCTGTGTTTGAGAAAATAAAGGATGTCAGTAGTCCATAAAAACATGACCTGTATGTATTTGTTGGTAAGAACATTTGAATGTTCATACAAAAAGAAAAAGAAAGCATTTGAAACCAAACAAAACAGAAAATTGAGGAAGTCTAAATGAGTCCTCCAATGGTTGAATCAGGAATCAGTATGCATGCATATACAACACTATAGTCAGAGGCCAGACTTATTAATGTCCCTACCCCTTTTACAGAGCAGATTTATTACAAAAATATCTATAGCCCGCCAAACAATGGCAGCCCCAATGGATGAACATCTCATCTAATAAAGTGAGTTGACAAAACATGCATTCAAGTAACGCACTTTATAAGAATCCCAATTTGCGCCCCCCCCCCCCCCTCTGTAACTGCACACTATTTTTTTTCCACGCTGCTTTTTAACTAAATAAATGTATGTAACTTTTTAATTTCATCTTTATTTTTGGCCATATTTTTATGTGATGCGCCAACCCTAGGCTGGGGTAGCACGCTATTTAAGACTACTGTTATAATAATAATCTAATGTCCCACCACCTTTATACCGCAGATTTATAACACATTTAATTTGAGACTTTCTGTAAAAGAAAAGAATATATAATCACAAAACACACTTGCAATATTTTTATGAATCTAATTTAGCACAGTTATCTGGAATTTTATTAAGTGAAAATCTGGTAGTATTAGTGACATTTTTACAAAGAGAATTATGTGTTTTGATTGTGCCTTTAAAAAAAATATTTTTGCCCATAGATTTAAGTGACTTAGCAAATGTGCCCTTCATGTAAAGTATTTCTCAAATTACTAAAATGGCTTTGTTCTGTCTTCTCAGTTTCCTATCAACAAATTAACTGACCTGCTTAGGAGAGATGTGGCAGCCTGTGGATTTACAGAGGTTCTCACATTTGCCTTGGTAAGGAAAAAGTACTTGAAACTCAATTTTTTTAAATTTTCTTATAATGTTTATTTTGGAGATGGTTTGTTTCTTTTAGGAATCACATTCAAATGCTTATATCTGTGTTACACAGAAGGCTAGAGAGCTATATTAAAATGATTTTTCACGCATCATAATTAAAACAAGAAAATTGTACTAAAAAACTATTTTTCGTGTTACATTCTGTTTGGCCTCTATCTCATTGTGGTTGTCACTCAGGATAGAAGAAGGCAGGTTTAGGGAAACTGTTTTGATAGATTTTTATGACAGCAGTATTTAAGAATATATTAATGGAAGCTAATGGATGAGGTCTTGGTTTAATCAACGTTTTAATCTGGGTAGTTAAAATAATTATAAAAGCAGGATAATCTAACTTTTTTTTTTAAATGTACATTTTTTTTTAGTTTTCTAAAGGTTCATTTCACTTTTTTTAAGTTGTGGAGGCTCTAGATATTAAAATAATTATTGGACATTTCGTGATACTTAAAATGTAATGAAAATGATGTTACATCCCTTTAGTAATTGTTTCCCCTTTGATTTCAGTGCTCTAGAGCTGACATAGCTGATAAGTTGGGCAAGCAGATTGAAGACTTAAAAGCAGTTCATATATCAAACCCTAAAACAGCAGAGTTCCAGGTGAGTGAGGATCAATATCAAATGTCTGAGCCTTTGTCCCATTTATTAACAAATGGTCAAGTCATGTATGACATCAGCAGTGATGGGAAGACAACTGGCACCAAATTGGGGACAATATTTTCACTGGCACGGCAACTTGCACCAAATTTGGGGCGATATTTGCACCGCAAATTCACCTCACCCCACCCTCCAATTTACTTGAATAACATTAATGGCAAATGTTCTATCATTGCTATTTGCTTGAGTAAATATTTAACAGAGTTAATTTCAGATTTGTTAAAATGGCCCTACTTTAAATTCAAACTTACTGCTACATGTATATAAACAATTCTTCTCACAAACAGTAACCACAATAAATGTATTCAATTTTTCACTGTTTCAAGTGTCATTTTTAAGTACTAGCAACAAGATGTGGATGGAGGATATTGATGTGTTATTTCAGATTCTCTTACACACAAACTATGTATGACATACGTAGTGGAAAAATAGAATGTGTACAATGACCAGAAAAAGCTTCTTCTCTTAAGAGCACTTGTCAGGGTTTTTTTTTAATAAATTGACAACATATTCTAAGCCCACCTGTTTTCTACTGCTTAGATCATTGATCAAAAGTACTCAATTTGTTTTTTCACAAATTTAGGTAGCTAGAACAACATTGTTGCCAGGCATTTTGAAAACAATATTCCACAACAAAAGTGTTCCCCTGCCTCTTAGACTTTTTGAAATTTCTGATGTTGTGCACCAAGACCCTTCCAAAGGTGAGTCTAAAACCAACTTGAATTTCAAGGATAGAAAGACTTGAACCTCAAATTTCATCTTATAGGAATACTGATATATTATACTTTTGGTAAATAAACATTAGGGGATATGCCAAATGTTGAATGAAGAGGGTGACATGGAAAATATTAGGCAAAAATTCACAGAAATTAAAATGGTTGCCAACAATTTGTTCAGGTTAAAATATATGTTGCACATTGCATCTCAAACTGTATGTCAGCAACCCCTCCCAAATGGCATTCAAGCCAGCGAGGAAGGCAAAATTACAAGTAAAACTTCCCAGAAATTAATTAACAATTCTACTTGCTGTTTAACACACCTCCCAGTTTTTAAAAAAATTATATTAATCTATACAGAAATCTGATTATGAATAAAGCAATTTTTATCATTTCTTCTTTTGGACTGACATTTCATGATTTCTTCTATATATTAAGGGCCCACTATCAATTTATTGATTTTTCTGGCTCCTATGTATGTAGAGAGGATTTGCAATGTTTCTGTGCCTGGTGTTGAAGAGGATATTTCACGGCTGCAAGGGCTACTCAAAGAGGGATATCATGGGGGGGGGGGGGGGGGGGGAGGGGTGGCTGGAAGGCTTGAGGCTATAGACCCAAATGTGTCTAGTGTTGTTGCCTCAACTGTTCCTTTTGGAAGCTTGTTCCAGTCCCTGATTGTCTTTGGCTAATAAATGGAAAGCCATTCTAAATTCAGAATTATTTCACTTGCATGTCTGAATGTACTTATACTTGGTAATTATGTGATAAGATTAACTTGTTGTGGATGGCTCTACTAAAACTGAGAATAGGAAATGTCCTTTGTAACTTGTATGGAATGACAAATCAGTTTGTTTCTGATATAATCTAACAAGTCAATATTATATTATGTATATGTGTGTATATATATATATATATATATATATATATATATATATATATATTATATATATATATATATTTTTTATATATATATATCTCTCTATATATGAATATTATGTATATGTGTGTATATATATAATATATATATATATATATATATATATATATATTATATATATATATATATTTATAATATATATATATATCTCCCTAGATGTAGGAGCTAGAAATGAGAGGAGACTCTGTGCCATCAACTACAACAGGTCATCAGAGTTTGAGGTCATCCATGGCCTGCTGGACAGAGTCATGCAACTATTAGAAGTGCCGTTTGGTGGTCCAGATGGTTACGAACTGGAAGCAGGAGATGGTAGGTTGAGTCTCCATTCATCATGACTAGACATTTCTCATTTTTATTTCTTATCTGGATTTTAATTTTTTAACAGTTTCAATATTGGCACCACATATATGTCAGTTTTGAAAATTATAGTTTGTTTTAATTCATGGTTGTTTTTTTTTATTGCTAGAAGAAATGTAAAATGAACCTAAGAATGAGTGAACCTGAGATTGTTTCTTTGATAAGTTCTGTGTGAAATATTGGTTTTTATTTTTATATTTCTCAAGAACTGTATTTTTTCAACAGATTCAGCTTTCTTCCCTGGACGTTGTGCCAAAATTGTGGCCAGAGGTCAGGTCATTGGTACTCTTGGCGTCCTTCACCCAGATGTCATCACAAAGTTTGACCTCAACATGCCTTGTGCTGCCATGGAGATAACCATTGAACCTTTCCTATAAACAAATTATCTTAGAATAGTCTGTGTTTTTAACATTTGCTCTACATCCATTTACTGTGTGAAATATTTAATAACCTCCAACTATGATGGTATACATTTTTATCTCATTCTAAATGAGACTAAACCTTTGAATGTTTCTATTGATCATTTTAAAAAAGATTATTTTCTGAAATGTTAGTAGATTTAATTTGAAAGTGCATTAAGATCAAAAGAATACAAGGTTAATGTTGATTGTTTGTTTTTTTTAACATTTAAAAAATGTCTATGGGAAAAAAATGTGTATTTTTGGTATAACAATGTTGTTGTGTTTTTCATGAACAGAGATCATTCTAATCTGTTGGCAATGGTTAATGGGATAAACTCAGTTAAACTGTAATAGAATAGACTCATAGTGAACCTGTCATCACTGTTAACACACAAAAATCTTCTTTTATAAATGCACTGAATAATGCTATCTAATACCATTTTATAATGTATCTCACTTTATTTACAAATATTCAGTAGTTAGCTTTCCTTTATGTTTTCTCTTATACAATAATCGAAAGTGTTTTTATCAATAAATCAGCTTTTTCTTTTATAGAATTATCTCTCAAAGTTTGTTATTAAGAATGACATGCTCTTCCTATTTTAAAGTTAGAAAATTAAGTTGATATGTTAAGAATTGTTAGTTTTTTTAAATCCCAAGTTATCATTTATTTTCCTTTAACAAAAAAAAAATACAATTAATTTTTTCAAAACTACCAAAAGAAAACAGCACAGCATTTAACCTGTGGCAACTCTTACCTTGTCATATTTCATCAAACATTCTTTAACATATCTAAACTAAATTTTATTATTTTCCAACAGTACATTTATTTGCATATTTACTCAATTGTAATTTTAACATTGCTTTGTTTCCATATAACTGCAGGTTATTAAAATTTCCATTAGATGTGTCTGGCTGTATCACCTGGAATGTTTCAGTTTTGTTCGTTCAATAAATTATCCACATGCCAATAATATCAGCCTTGTGTGTGTCATGTTTGTAATTTATGTCATTGTGGGTAAACTTATTTTGCATTATGACAACAAAGTCAAATTGTGACACATATTTCAGCTGGACATTTACACATTAAAAAAGAGTGCAATACAGCACCATGAAGACATGTCGAAAACCCCATGTATTGCCTAGTCATGTGACTATTTTAGCAGATCATAATAAATTGAACAATACCAAAACAAACATACATATTGTGACAATTTGTATTGCAATGTTAATTATTATGTTGCATTTTAAAACAAAAAACCTGCAATAAAATTTATTATAGGTATAAAATTAACCTTTGTAAAGGAATAATTAGAAGTCATGAATCAGCATGGTTATCCTTTGATCATGAATGATCATTGTCTATGCAAGCTGCAGATGTCTAACACCGTTTGAAATATTGTGTCATAGCACCTGCAAAGGATGTAGTTACCTGAAACAAAAAAAGTTCACAATTCATCTCAATCTCAGTAAGAGAGCACCCGGTATAAAGCATTCTAATATTTGTTTAAACATTATAATAATAGTTATTTAAAATTGTCATATTCCAATGTACACTCATCGCATGTTTTAATTTACTTTTTTTTAAAAAATCAAATTTAACACATTTAATTATTTCAGTTACTTTTTCAATAAAGTAAAACATGTTTATGTTAGCAGAAAGCTTCTGTTTCCTTCCAACTATCAGTCAGCAAAGTTTGTCTCTATTTTTTTGTTTTTTTTGCAGTGGATGTCTTCTTATCCGAGACTGTATGAATATGGGGATAACATTGACATCTAACATTCTCTACGTTGGTCATAGTTTCCTTACTTTTCATTCACATGTGTCCGTGCCTTGACCAGGGCTTAATCTAGGATTTATTTATTTTTATATACTTTTTCTTCACCATTTCTGCGCCATAAAACTCACCGCTTTCATTTCACCATTGACTAGTTCTCTAACGATATCTATTGCTATTCCACTCTCTGTTTTTGCGTGTTCTGTTACTTTATTTCCTTCCGCTTTTATAATACCCTGGGTAATGAAGAAAAGCTTTACCATAAAAGACAATTATAACGTCATTAAGGTCAACATGTTGCCATAGCAACTGAAGATTAGTTTTAGTTATATAATATAATAATTATAATAATATAATTTTGGATAAAGTAATAATAAATAGGCATAATGAGCCATAATCATAATGGTAATTGCAACACTCTTGCACAACAAGCTTTAAAATAAATGGCCTATTTTTAAATGAGTCCTCAAATACTTTAATTGTGATTAATTTGTGAGTGATTTTCAGTGAGTTATACCTTTACTTTGATCCCTCCAATGCCTTCCAGAGTTGTCTCCTTTCCCATTTCAAAACTGTTTGTGATGGTTGGAATACCCGGACATGACATCACAACAGTGTAGACATTGCCAGATTTCGTGATCTCATAAGTATAGCCGTTGGCCAAGATGGTTTCGGTTATGTCCTTTGGGGAAACTGTAATGACAAAAAATATTTTCTTGAAATCAAGGCACTTTTTAAGGCTTTTAGGAAGCGAGCGATTTTTTATTTTTTTGTTTGTTTGTTGTAGTTTGACATTTTGAATCAGTTTAAAAGAAGTGTTTTTCAGAGTTCGAGAGAGGCCTAATAAAATGTCAAAGGTGTATAATTCCAAGTAAAAAATCAGCAGTTTTCATTCGTTAGTGCCGAGTTTGTTCCTTTTGAAGTTTATGATTTTATAAGTTGATCTTCAAATATTGAAATTTGCCAGTGTAAATTTAAGGCTCCAGTGATTCTGAACCCCGCTGACAAGCCCACCCCAAAACGCCCAGAAGCTATGAATGCGTTAAGAGTGAAATGCGCAGTAGAACTATAATATGAGGATTAATTTAAAATTAATTTCATTGGTTAAGCTTTTAACTTTTATGGGGGGGGTTTTTTTTTTTTGGGGGGGGGGGGGGGGTTCAAGTGAGACGTAGAAGAAAAATGTGACATAGACGCCATGATGCATGTCACTAAATTCCAGGGTAAGTTTAAATTTATAATACAACATGCCGTCCACCAAGAAGGGGAGTAATTCTCTTTGCTGTGAGTGGGATTCCTCGACCTTGAAGAAAACCAATGCTCACATAATGAATGTCGCCCGTCTTAGGCAGTTGTGAACATAATTAGTTTGTCTTGCAGGAGGTGATTCAAACTTACGTCCGGCCTCCACATAAGCCTCCACGCCTTCAAATCTGCTGAGGTCAGCCCGCCATTTACCAATGAACACGTCCATGTCGCCTGAAAAGTTACACATAAAAAATAATTTAATTATCATCAAACCGCAAAAAAAACAACAAAAAAAAACAATCTGACTGGACCAGATAAACCATCCCTTTCTTCCATTTTATTATTATTTGAGATTAAAAATTTAACAGCAGACCAGACACATCGGACTTACCGTTAAAGGAATGGATGGGAAATTATAACAAGTTTGATATGCCAACGTTTTGACAACAAATCCACAGGTTGTCGAAGAAGCTACGGATGCTGTACTCTGGACCTACAGCTGACTGACTTGGACTGCAGGCTATTTCAGAAGTTCATTGGCTTTTTATCCACTGGACAACATCCGACATTTTCACGTGGTGTTTCGTCGCTAATGGATTCTCATATTTCTCTATCTGATCCTTCGTATCTCCATATTTCATGAACTACTGATACCCACACTTCGGCTAGTCCACATGTCGCACCTGAGTTTACCCGCACACTTCGGTAGTCCACATGTCGCACGTGAGTTTATTCGGTGGTCAGTTAGTATCACTTGGATCTCTTTAGTTACTTATGTAAAGCAACTGGGTTCTTATGATGGCCGATAGGTATTAACCCCATGTGTAGTATCCGAGTTTCTGTCTCGCTTCTATGGTCACCCATATAGATCGATTATTTCTATGGTAATCCAAATGTGGCTTTTTTAGTCCAAATGTGGGTCTTTTTAAGAGTCCAAATGTGGGTCTTTTTAAGAGTTCAAATGTGGGTCTTTTTAAGAGTCCAAATGTGGGTCTTTTTAAGAGTTCAAATGTGGGTCTTTTTAAGAGTCCAAATCTGGGTCTTTTTAAGAGTTCAAATGTGGGTCTTTTTAAGAGTCCTAATGTGGGTCTTTTTGTGTCTACTTTTCACTACATTATTTGAAGTTCTTTAACTGCCCCCATCACTAGTTCCCCTTAGTAACTGCCCTCATAACTAGTTCCCCTTAGTAACTGCCCTCATAACTAGTTCCCCTTAGTAACTGCCCTCATAACTAGTTCCCCTTAGTAACTGCCCTCATAACTAGTTCCCCTTAGTAACTGCCCTCATAACTAGTTCCCCTTAGTAACTGCCCTCATAACTAGTTCCCCTTAGTAACTGCCCTCATCACTAGTTCCCCTTAGTAACTGCCCTCATCACTAGTTCCCCTTAGTAACTGCCCTCATAACTAGTTCCCCTTAGTAACTGCCCTCATCACTAGTTCCCCTTAGTAACTGCCCTCATCACTAGTTCCCCTTAGTAACTGCCCTCATCACTAGTTCCCCTTAGTAACTGCCCTCATAACTAGTTCCCCTTAGTAACTGCCCTCATCACTAGTTCCCCTTAGTAACTGCCCTCATAACTAGTTCCCCTTAGTAACTGCCCTCATAACTAGTTCCCCTTAGTAACTGCCCTCATACTTTCCGCATAACAACGCTCGTGAAGCATCACATGATCTTCGGTTTCAGTATTGCAAGATCAAGGAGCCATTGTCTTTCAATCTCTCTTGTACGGAGATATCTTTGAGTCGTCTTAATGACAAGGATTTCTAAGTTTTTAACATGCACAATGGCGGTAAATCTTTACGTAGACGAGTTATTGATCATGTACGGACCAATAGTCTATTGAACAGACAAGAGTGGGGAGCAGTTTAGAATATTGGTTTGTATCCAATGAATTGACTTACAAGAGTGTGAAGAAGTTTAAAATATTGGTTTTTAGACAATGAATTGATTGTCTAATGTACGGACTAGCAGCTTGACTTGCAACAGATTGTCATCAATTTTATAGTTGAAAGAAAATAGTTGCCCTCCTAAACAATAAAACGACCAAAAAATCTAAAGTATTAAAAGGACTCTTTAATCTTGTTGTGCATATTAACTCACCAATTCACATTTGAGGTTTTTTTGCTACACAGAGACACCGCCGTATAAGAGTTGAATGTAGTTCATCATACAGAAGGTCACTAATTTATTACCTGTTAAATGCTTGTATTTTTTTTTTTAATCTTGCAGTTGAGTTTCATGACATTTATTGATTTCAGCCAGGTAAAATTGTTTGCTAACGACCTGATCCAATTTTATGGGAGATTGGGTTACTACTGAAAAGGGAGCTGAATTCTAATCGAGTCAAAAATATCGGCTGTATCCATTCTACCATTTCTAGTGGTCACATTGAGATGGCTAAATGGCATGTTCTTACCGACAGATTTCAGTGGTCAAGTTGTTTTTTTTTTACCCAATCATCATTGGCTTGTTATTGAAACGTTATTAATTAAGCAAGGTGGACTTACGGAGGGAAAGTGGTGAGGCTTAACTTATCCCCCCCCCCCAACCAACCTAAATGAACAGCTGTGAATTGCCTAAAAGCAACAGTCATTTCGGTACTTGTATTTACAGCAACATTCAGTTTCATACTTGTATTTACAGCAACAGTCAGTTCAGTTCTTTAATTTACAGCAACAGTCATTTTGGTACTTGTATTTACAGCAACAGTCATTTCGGTACTTGTATTTACAGCAACGGTCATTTCGGTACTTGTATTTACAGCAACAGTCATTTCGGTACTTGTATTTACAGGGAAAACGTCAATCTCATTTCGTGCCTATATAGAGTTTTTACTGGCCGTGACACTCCTCAGAATATATTAAGTTCTAGGACATTTGTTGTTGTTGTTTTTTTTTTTGTTTTTTTTTTTTTTTTTTTTTTTTTTTTTTTTTTTTTTTTTTTTTTTTTTTTTTTTTTTGTGGGGGGGGGGGGGGGGGCTAAATCTGGAAACTTTCCACAAAACCATGTAGGTTAGCAACGACATTTTTACCGACCACAATGCGCAATACAGTAATACTTCGTGCTTTCGCGTTTCGGGATTCGCGAATTTTTCATTGGAACCAAACTAATTTGTATTCGCGTTTATTTTCTTCACAGATCTGCGAAATTTGCGAAAAAAAAGCCTGCACAGAAGTATTGTTGTTAATTTTTGAAGTAATTTATACGTTTTCATGCTTTAAAGTGTAAAATCGGGAAAGGTTAACATTCTACTTAATGAAGTAGAAATGAAAATTATTTTGAGGTTTGGGTCGCCGCAACATGAGAAAGTATATTGAAGGGTCGCGGCATTTGGAATGTTCAGAACCACTGTCTTAAGCTAACTTTTAAGGCGAATGAAAGTCCTTCAGTGCCATGATTTGTCTCAGATTTAGGGGCTCAACTCTAGAAATGGACATTTATTAACATTTTTAGTCTTTCGTTCCAAACAGTCGAAATAAATAATGAACAAGTCCAAAAAATACATAAAATCTTCAATTTACGTGTATATTGTCTTGTCACGGTTTGCATAGGCCCTATGTCCAAATATATAATTATCACCATTTCAGATTTGTGTTTTAATAGCAATAGCC